CACGGACGTTCACAGTTTGACTATATAGAGTATATAGATTACAGTACAAGCACTAAACGAATGCGTTATTTTACTATTAATTAATCTGGGAATAAAAGAAAAAATGTAAGCAAATTAAAGGGGAAAAAATTAAAAAACGATGATTAAAGAATTATGATTTTTTTTTTCTGTTTTCTGTTTCTGTTTGTTTGTTAGTTTTTTTTGTGTTTTTGTTTTGTTTTGTTTTGTTTTGTTGTTTTTTGTTTTTGTTTGTTTGTTTGTTTTTGTTTGTTTTTTGTTTTTTTACATTGAATATCATTGTTATAAAGACATAGAAAATCTAAGTAAATGTAATGTATATAGAATAAACATGAAATCAAAATGCATCATTCTTCAAAGCAAACAAAGTTGGTAAACAGTCTCCTAAGAGATGATTGGACAAAAAAATAATTACATACAGGGGGTAATAAACGTATTTATAATCCATATTTAAAAAAAAAGAAAAATAAGTATTTGGCTCAAGAAATTTGAAATATCCTTATAAAACAACATAGGGTCGAAAGGACTACATTGCTCACCTGATACTCTTTGGTCCTGCAGTTCTTCAGAAGATTTTAAATTTCTTTTTCTTCATTCACATAAAGAAAGCTATGAACTTTTATTGTAGCCCAAGGGATTGTGACAAAAATGATCTTGCATTATCAAATAACGAAGTTTCTTCAATATCAAAATGATAAAATGGATTTGGTGTTCCGGATATTTTATTTCCTGGTATACATTATGCATTATCAAAATGTTTATCCCTAGTTTTAGCCCCATTTTAATCCCAATGACTATTATGCCTGATAAAATCAACACAACAATATTTGCATTTAAAAGCAAGCAGTGTTGCACTGCTCTGATTCATGATACTTTTTCTGATCAATTTTGTTAATAATATCGTGTAAAATGTTCACCACTTACTTTGCGGTTGCAATTAATCGAATGATGCTTAAACATTAAAATGACGAATAATGGTTCTGCTGTTGCTAAGAAGAAGATTTAAAAGATATTTTTTTTCTATATGTTTGATCACCTACTAGGGCATTATCCTTTAAACAAATATGAATCAACATTACCCGAGGAAGCTTCAATGTAGACTATGCTTGGTCCGAATTTTCTATAAAAAATATTATATTATTTATATTTTTTTTCTTTATCTATCTACATTCCCATGTACAATTATATTGATTCCATATTGTGACCCGGGAACTATGATTTGAAAAAAAAAACAATTTCTGTGAATACTTGCATATTTTTATGACTAATCGTGGTTCTGCTGTTTTTAAGAGAAAACTATTGTTGAAAATTTTCATTTTTATTCCAATGTTAAAATTCTCTACGTTGTTGCCCTACCCTACCTCCAGGGACAATGATTTGTAAACTCTTGATTTATCATTATGTAAGAAAATATAACATCAGTTTCATCTCTACTGTCCCGGAAGTTCTTGAGAAGAAATTTAAAACCCCACTGAATTTTATTAATTATCTACCATTGAATAACGTTGTGGACCCTCATTAAAACAAACATGAAATCCTTTAACCAAGTGAACACGCGGCAGATGACATACGACAGAGACGCCGAACACTTTTTTTTCCAGAAAAGCTCACCCGAGCCTGTGGCTCAGGTGAGATTAAAATTGTTAATAAATACATTTTTATTTATCACGTGGCTAGAATTATCTTTGCAAGAAAGCTTTGATTAAACATATGACAAATATTAAAAATATATATATACCCAGCTAGCACAAAAACATTTTAAAAATGTTTTTAAAACATTTTCAAAATGTTACGAAAACATTTCAAAAATGTTTTAATCACGTGATTTTGTATGGTTTTTTAAACGTTTTTAAAACATTTTAGCATAATGTTTCAGCAAATGTTATCAGAACATTTTATTAAAATGTTACGAAAACATTTTCAAAAATGTTTTAATCACGTGATTTTGTATGGTTTTTTTAAACGTTTTTAAAACATTTTAGCATAATGTTTCAGCAAATGTTATCAGAACATTTTATTAAAATGTTATGAAAACATTTTCAAAAATGTTTTAATCACGTGATTTTGTATGGTTTTTTAAACGTTTTTAAAACATTTTAGCATAATGTTTCAGCAAATGTTATCAGAACATTTTATTAAAATGTTATGAAAACATTTTTGAAAATGTTTTAGTCACGTGATTTTGTATGGTTTTTAAAACGTTTTCAAAACATTTTACCCTAATGTCGCAATGACATCTCTTTCCTAAAATGTCACTTAACGTTTTCATTAAATGATATCAACATCATTTGTATGATTTTTCAAAGCGCTTTTCATACATTCCAGCTTAATTAATTAATCACATCTGAATGAATTCACTTTTTACAAATTTTAATACAAATCCTTATTTAATATGAAACACATATTTAAGTTCTATTTCCAGTACAAGTTTTGAGTTATTCTGTTTTAATCCAACAGATATTTTTAAAGGAAAAAATCCATTCTTTGAATTTAAAAACAGCAGAATCACATAAATCCTTCCAACTAGAAAGAATAAACAGGCCTATAGATCACTGTTATCATATACGATCCCGCAAAAAGCTTGTATCTACATGTACACGTGTAGGTTCCACAGAGCGACGGATCAGCTACCTATTATGTAAATGGAATCGCACACATTAATAAAGTTCACAAGAAGTCTGTCCTAGGAAAGAATTGAACAAGAAGCTCTTTTCTGTAAAGCAGAACCTGTAAACATAGAGGCAACAGTGTTAAAGTCATCCGTCTACATCAGATCTTTAAATAATGAAAATGTACACGAACATTTTTTTAAATAATAAAATCACATAAAATTTTCCATTTGCATTAATGAAAAGAATTAGAGTTGTTGCATGTTCATAACTAAAACACAATAATATTATTGAAGAGCAATGATATTTACGTACAAAAACATGCCTTTATCAGCTAGAGGCGGTTCTTTCAAATGTGGCTATTTGAATGAAATTCAAGTCTGTTGATGGAACTGTCATCTAACTGCAATATGATTTCATGTTTCAATAATAAGATATTTTGAATTTTGATCAACATAAGACAAGGAGGCATATTTGTTGTTTTCTAAAGTATTCAAATTCAAATACATAATAGCTTTGTTCTGCTACTCATATGTATACATGTATTCAGAAATAAAATGATGTACTGGTAACAGAAGAGTCACTTTAAAAAAATTATCTTTTGAAATCTCTGAAGAAATTATACTCACAAAGCAGGTGTTAATAATCCAGCGCTAATTCTGGCTTATATGATGCAAAAATCTTGTTTGAAAATCAGCAACAAGAAAACGTACACATCCTGTTTACCAGAATTCAAATTTTGGCATAGATAAGCTGCAAACCACTATACTCTCTAACGCGCTGCCCAGCAGGAGAATTGCATAACAAGGTTATCATGACACTGAAACTGACCAGTGTAGCCACTCCTAATCTGCTGTCTTGGAGTTAAAGAAATATGATGCAAACAGACAAGATCGACGTCAAAAATCAGGCTGTGTTAATTATTGTAAACTGTTTGCTTATTATTTTTTCTTTTTTTTTAAATTAAAGTACCTTTACTTTATTCAGTGAACTTTGTATTGATTACATGTCTGTCAACTCAATAAGAATTTTTGAAAAAAGAAAGAAAAATACAGGGATAATATTTTTTCTCGGGAAAAAATTGGGTTAGTCATGAATATTTTTAAAACATTTTGGAAATTACATTACAAAATATTGCATCAATGCTAAATAAAATGTTTTAGTCCTTAAAAGGATAAACGTTATAGTCAATGTTCTAAAAACATTTTTACAACATACTTTGAAAATAAACAAATCATTAATATTAACAATGATATAAATGTTTTAAAAACATTTTGAAAATGTTTCTATAGAATGTTGCATAAATTATAAATAAAATGTTTCAGTTGTAGGAGGAGAAAACGTTTTGTCAATGTTTTAAAAACATTTTCACGACCAACACTGAAACATTTAAATATTAAACTCTAAGCAATATTGAGAATGTTTTAAAAACATTTTGACAACGTTCTTTCGAAATGTTTTGAAAACGTAACATTACTATGTTTCATATATGTAGAAGAGGAATGTTTTATTTCAGGTTTTAAAAACATTTTTATAACGTTATAAGAAACTGTTTAATATATGCAAACAAGAATACCTTTGGAATCATTTTTAAAACGTTTCAAAAACATTTTCTAGAAATGTTCCTTAAAGATTTTACTTTAACCTTTTTGAAAACATTTTGAAAATGTTTCTATAGAATGTTGCATAAATTATAAATAAAATGTTTCAGTTGTAGGAGGAGAAAACGTTTTGTTCAATGTTTTAAAAACATTTTCACGACCAACACTGAAACATTTAAATATTAAACTCTAAGCAATATTGAGAATGTTTTAAAAACATTTTGACAACGTTCTTTCGAAATGTTTTGAAAACGTAACATTACTATGTTTCATATATGTAGAAGAGGAATGTTTTATTTCAGGTTTTAAAAACATTTTTATAACGTAATAAGAAACTGTTTGATATATGTAAAGAAGACATACCTTTGGAATCATTTTTAAAACATTTCAAAAACATTTTCTGGAAATGTTCCTTAAAGATTTTACTTTAACCTTTTTTAAAACATTTTTAAAATGTTTTTAAAATGTTACAATGGGAAAGAAAAATGTTTTTAAAACATTTTAAAAATGTTTACTCTGAAATGTTTTGAAAAAACATTTTTATAACTGCAATAAAATGTTTTGAAAATGTTTTGTGCTACCTGGGTATATATGCTTTAAAAACAATACATAAACATACATGCATGTATCTCTAAACTAAAATATAAATATATTATCCTGTAATTTTCAAGGTTTAATATATGTTTACACATAATTTTGACAATACTATTTATACTGGTTGCGAAAAATCGTCTGAGTAGCTGTTTAAGATATCTTCAAGGATGAATTCAATTTATGTGTTGGCATATACACTCTCTGTATTCAGAAAGTCAGAAACTGCTTTGAAACAAAATTCATATTCTTCCTGAAATACAAAAACTGAGATTAAATGTCTGTCCTCGATGTTTTTATTTGAATGTAAAACCTTTTTTTTCGAATCTTATACTAATAAGTTTTGCAATATATGATTTCTCAGTGACAAACAAATGTTTATTTATGCAAAAGAAAAAAAAAATCTTAAATAACTCCCTTTCTTTATATCAGTTATAAAACTAGAGTCATATTAACTATTTGCATGACAGTAAGAGTAAAGGTATATTTATGGAAACACTAGAATAAAATGCCTTAATATGTACCTTTGTTGATATCATTTCGGGTCTTCGACATTGTAATTGCTGAACAATAGTAAATATGTCCACCTCCTCGTCCTGTTGTAGCTGTTCTATGGCGTTATACACAGCGCAAAATACTCCACAACATGTCGCACCATCCCTTTTACAGAAAATATAGAGCACGTTTGGCAATGATTTCTTTGAAATATTAGATTAGAGTTTATTAGAAACTGTTTGTACATTTCTTTCAACTAATGTGGGTTTTTATCAATAATAGAAAAGGATTCTTCGCATCGAATCATTGTGTTTAAATTGTATTTCACTGTTGTGCGTTCAGAGGGTCAAAACACTATAATCTAGTCAGGCAGAGTAATCTTAATATTTGAATGAGTTGGTTGCTAGAATAAGACAAGTCAAAGAAGTTTCATGGATGATGAACAACACCATTCCCATATTAATTTGGTATTTTCTGACTTAAGTGACAAAAGCATGTCACTGGTGATATATTTCAGTCACAGGTCTAATATCAATACAATATTTTTTCGCCAAGGGAACCATGAATACTTTGTGCTTAGAAAAGATTATTTAACAGTAACGATATCACTGAATAAGTTCCCAAATTAAATTTTATTGCTCAGAATACACATTTCTCCCCTTTTCTCAAAGTATGACACAACTATTCAAACAAATGTAAAAGATGTAGCTTGAAAAAGAAATTAAGTACACACTTCGATATGACAGTTACACATCCCTTTAAATGAGATTTGCGATAAAGGCTGAACTGTTTGATGAGCGTTGTTAAAACAGAGGTTTCCATCGGAAGTGCATCACTGGAACTCCAGTTCAGGCATTCAAATATCTTTACTTCACGGGTTTCCTTATTTGCAGTAGAAATATAAACGAAAGTTTAAAAAGAAAAAAATAGTTTGTTAAAGAAAAATTATACATTTAATTGAAAAAAATAAACAATTTTAATTATGCAAAGAATGTGAAACCCAAATTGTGAAGTTTCTTTTGTAGATTATTTTTCTTAATACAACATTTAGGAAATGTTGAATGAAAATATCTAAAAATATTAATCATAATGAAAAATATGGTGTTTTCGTCTACAAGAAAGGAAACTGACCTTCTTTGTTGTGATTGTTATATTTGTCTTTCTTATCTCCCCGGACAATACTTCTTGTGTACCCTTAGTGATTATATAAGGACTAAGTTTGAGGGGATTTACTTTTTCCTCAACCCAGCTTTGTAGCTTAAACAAATACATGTAGAAGGTTTGAAAAATCAAAATATTTAGATTGTTTATAAATGTATAGCAATAAAGAGACAATGTTGCATAATTAAATCTAATAAATATGCAAAAGATAGTTTATTTCTATGAGAATGCAATAATGGTCTGATGATTGTGTTTGTCATAACCTCTTCAACCTCTGAAAAAGGGTTCAGTGAAATCAAAAATGCTGATTCCTGATCAATTAGCAGACGAACAAGATCTACGGCAGCTCCAGGCACCGGAAATTGAGCAGACAAAAATTCATCAGATCGGGTGAACGACTATATTTAAAGAATTAAAAGAAAATGGTAATCTACAGGAACTACAATTGTGCACAAAACGTTTAACTTATCAAATAATATATGTGTCACACATAGAAATTTAGCATTTTGATAACAAATATTTAAACTTGAAGAACTTTTATACATACAGAAACATTCACTGCATTGTAATAACATTGTCGGCCTGGAACGTGGGATGTCAAATATACTAGATATTGCTCAACTGAAATTATAATTAAAAACGTTATAAAAAAATATTAGACAAAATTAGTCTACTTCAATTTAATAGCAAAATGCAATGTAAACCATTGTCTTTGTGATGCTTTGCAGTATATTGTTGCACAAAAAACAACATTCTTAATTTCACCCCCCCCCCACCCCACCCCCATCCCCCCCCCCAAAAAAAAAAAAAATTATTGCTCACCTGAGTACATTGACTAGAAAAAAGCAGAAATAAGTTCAGTATTGAACGGGGCTGGAACTTTAAATTACACTACCTCAGGATGTTTCCAGATCAATGTTGCCAATCATGGCTTTGCTGTTCTTAAAAAGAAGAATTTTAAAGATTTTTCCCCTATGTTTTCCTGTGTAAAATTCTGATTGCTCATTGTGGCCCCACTTTACCCACCCATAATTTGAACAAATTCGAATCTACACTGCTTAAGGATGATTCTATATATTTGATCCTCTGTTGTGCCCCCCTCCCCACCCTGGGGTCATCATTTGAACAAACTTGATTATACAATATCTAAAGTTGCTTCTGTATAAATTTGACTAATAATGGCTTAGTTCTTCTTGAGAAGATGATTTTAAAGATATTTCATACGTAACGTGTATAACCAGGTTCTAACAGGGGATTTATATGTTTTCCTTTTACTCTGAGTAAATGATTAGAATGATGAAGACATCTCTCTCTGAGAGTATATCAAACAGTACTTACATTTTCTCTTACCTAGAGACGGGGACTTGGTAAGATTCTAAATGCACCATGTTTCTCCCCTTCTCCTTGATAGATAAGAACTGGGTGCCTCAATCTTCTTAAGATTTACAGATGTTTTTGGCTCCGCCCTACCCCCGGGGGTCATGATTTGAAAAACTTGAATCTACACTACCTGAGGATACTTCTGCATTAATATGACTAGTAATGGCTTAGCTGTTCTTGAAAAGACGATTCTTAAAGATATTTCCTACATATTCATATGGCAAACTTTGACCCCCTGTTCCAGCCCTACCCTACCCCCAGGTGGGGGGGGGGGGTCCATGATTGGAACAAATTGGAATTTACACTACCTGAGGATACTTCTATTATAATATAACTAATCATGGCTTTGCTGTTCTCAAGAAGAAGATTTTTATAGTCATTTCCTATATATTCCCACGTAAAACTTCGACCACCTCTTGTGGCCCCGCCCTAATCCCGGGGGTTATGATATGAACAAACTTGAATCTAAATTATGTGAAGAATCTTTTTCATCTTTTCATGCCCGTTGGTTCTTGAGAAGAAGATTTTTAAATGATGCCACCAAATTTTCACGAATTCTTAATTATCTCTCCTGAAAGAGGTCGCGACACTTTCTTTGAGCAAACTTAAATCCCCTTCATACAAGGATGCTTTGTGGCAAGTTTGGTTGAAATTGGCCTTGGGTGGTTCTTGAGAAGAAGTCGAAAATGTGAAAAGTTTACAGACGGCACACGACAGATTGTCGCCGGACACTCTTGGATCAGAAAACCTCACTTGAGCCTTTGGCCCAGATGAACTAAAAAAAAAAAGATAAGTTTACATGTTTAAATATTTGGAAGTCAAAAAAAAAGTTTCAGGTCTTAGATACCTGGTAAAACTGATTTGGAAAAGTTCAGTTCTGAAAACGCCTTTCCACTCTTGAAATCTTGGGCAACATTTCTTGGTTTTAAACTTATCAGTTCCTGTAGAAATGTTAAGTTTGATAGATTAATTCGATTTATTTCAATCTTGCACAATTTATCATTTTATCAAAGTCTTTTTTATATTTGCTTTTTTTCACCTTTCACAGTTGACAAAATACTTTTTCAAGTTTTCTTTATCGAGATATCATAGAAAATATGTGAACCTCATTTATATACTATGTAGATGCTTACATTGAATTCGTTTGTTATCTGTTTCTGGTTATCAGCTTTGTTCATATCTCCATATTGACTGAGAAATTTTTCTCTCTTTTTATAATGCGTTTTTCTTCTGAAGAACTCGTACAGTACATGGTACAGAAACACATATTGGTTCTATAAACAATTTTATTTGTAAAATGTATATTGGCTTTTTAGTTAACAAAAGTTGTACATTTTATGATGTCTTTGAAATGAATGAGATTCTTTCTGGCAATCACCATTTCTCTCAATTATTAAAAGTTTGGTCGAGTTTTGTCAACAGAAAACTTATAATTAATAAATTGCAATGTATGCAACTTACCACATTTTGAATCATTGTCATCCTGTCTTTACGCATTGCCTTGACATACTCTATGACATTGACCTTACCCTCGTCCTTGCCATACCTCGACAAAACGTCAAAGGCTATAAACGTACCCGTCCTCCCTATTCCAGCACTAGAATAAATTGAAACCATGCAACTGATGTGGTTTTCTTGCAATTAGAAAGTAACTAGAAAAGCAAGTATAAGTAGTTTCCCTTTTTCAAATGATTTGCTTTCTTGTCCTAAGGAATGTTACTTTTCTCTTATTTTAGTTTGATAATCTGAAAATACCCCCCCCCCCCCCCCCAAAAAAAAAAAATCCACGAAACATTTTGTTTTTAAACACATTTCAGCTAATTTTTATTAGCATAAACATGGATATGTATGCTATTTACAAGAAATTATTGCAAGAAATTCTTTGTCTACAAGACATTTTATGCCTAAATATCCTCAATAAATGATCTTCTAACATGGTCTTCATCTTTGTGAATCTTGTTTACATTTGGGAAGTGAAAATATTGCCAATGTATTACCCATAGCTGTCTTGATAAATAATTCATAAACTCTGTGATTACCTGCAGTGGACAAGTATTGGGTGATGGGAAGGCATGATCTTGTGTCGAAAATGTCGATGGAATACAATCAAGTTTAAGGGATTTGGTGTTCCGTGGTCTGGCCATCGGATGAAGTGATACTGCACGACCGTCCTTGACCCAGTGACCTAATTTTAGATAAATGTCAACCCAATTCCTGCTTTATGATACAATTTAAACATTTTGTGTTAATTTCTGCTTTGTTTTTTAACAAGTATTACATTCATACGGAATATTTTACATTTTGAAAATTACAACACTGTTTTTTTTATATACCTTCTTTTTGTACACTGTCATTCTTCGTTCGACGAAATGAGAATATTTTTTCTCTTCCAACAAGGTTACAGAAAATGGATTAATGTTCAGTTCCTTTCCTTCGTCTGGCCAATATTGGTGACATTTCACCTATTTTTAGCAAAAAAAAAAAAAAAAAAAAAAAAAAAAAAAAAAAAAAAAAGATATCCAAATTTGATAAATATATAGATCATGATATTTAAGTTCGACATTGACAGTTTATGTTTATTGTATGATAGCAAATTACATTACATGTAATAAATTTCATTTCAAAATTGATTCAAATACATAAAACAAAGGGCTAACGGACCAAGATGCTCACTTTCATAACGTTGGCCATATCAATCTCAATGAAAAGTTATAAAGATTCTCCCATATATTTCCTTGAAATTTTTTTATTCCCTATTGCAACTGACAGTTGCCATGCTGTTTTTTTTAGTAGGAAAAAATTTTTATATTTGTTTTATCTTTTCTAGGCCTGGCAGGCATAATTTGAAAACTTCAAATTCCTTTAATTTGGATGCTTGAATATCATTTATGACTTTTTGTCGTCATTATATTCTCGGAATTGAAATATTTTTCAGTATATATCTCGATCAAATTTTTACCCTCTTTTGTTATCCTCGTGGGCATTATTTAAACAAACTTAAATCTGCACTAGATGAGAATGTTGTCGTATCAAAATACTATTTATAGCACTCTGTTCTTGAGGGAAATAATTCGATCTTTTCCAAATAAAATTTCATCAAACTTTTATCTGCTTGTATCTCCATTTAAGGCCTCGGGGCAAAATTAGAAAAATAAAACTTGAATCTGCACTAAATGAGTATAGCTTTTGTTTGCATTATTTACTGGTTCTTTAATAAAGAGGTTTAAATGGCCAAACCCAAATTGTGACTATTTAGTATATATCTCCATTTACACATGTAAAAAAAGTGCTACCCATCATTTGAACAAGTCTAAATTTGCTCTATCCAATGATTTTGATTAGAATGGCTAAGTTCTGTGATCAGCTGGAAAGTTGAAAACGTAAAAAGTTAAGAGAGAAACAGACAGACGAACCGACATCGTAAAGACTTTAATTTGTTTAAAAAAATGAGTGTTTGGCACAAGTGAACAAGTGAGCGAAAGTTGAGTGATTAGTTGAACAATATTGGAGTGAAATGCTTTACTTTTAATATATGTATATAATACTGAGACAGAGTATTTTAATTCACATATACAGTAGAGCGTATAAAACGAACCATAATGTATATCTTTAATCAAACCTTTGGTCCCTCAGTAAGGTTGGTCAACATGATGACGTAATCTACATGTTCCTGCCAAATCATTCTCCAGTGGTCAACTAAAGTGTTTTTGAGTGGGCCTGAAAGAAAGAAAAAAAAATGTAAAGTTTGATAACCGTAGTATGGTACAATGTATAAGATTCTCTAAAAAAAAACATTTATTATCAAGTATTTTAAGATTTTTCGCATATTTATTCAAAATCAACAAACCTTGACATGCAATGAATTCCCGTTTTTCATCTAGATTCTAAGAATGAAAAGTATTTGAAAATGTTAAATACAAGTATATTTAAGACATCATGTATTTAAATTCATTATCTTAACCAAAATCTGAATTTCTGTTCTGTAAATTACCTCAATGTAGTTAGCATTTATGTAATCGGAGGTAAAGCCCTTACTAGCTTCTAAAATAACGCGGGAATGATCATCTACGAAAAAACATAAATAAACAAAATTTGTAGATGAGAAGCAAAATAATGATGATTGGAAGTTTGAATTCATTCTGAGACGCTTCTTAAAAAAAAGTGGATTTCTAAATAAGTTTTTCTATTATTTGAACTTTCACAGAGAAATAGATATATGTTTCAGTATCATGTTTTAGAGTTTTAAATTAATTCTAATTGCATTGAAATTATATGATTAATTGATAAATGCATATACCTTTAACTTTAAAATAAAGTAATGAAAATTACAATCTTACATGGAAAGGTGGTTTTGAATCTGTTTTTAGGCATGTTTTCCTCTGTTTTAGCGATTTCACAATCAAATCTTTCCCCATATGGAAGCGACTAAATATATTTCTCGGCAATGAAATATGTATTATTATATTATATTATGTTATGTTGTATTGAATCATGTCATATTATATCATATTATATAAAACAGTATTTAACTGTTGGAAATAGAATAAATCAATAATCAATATTTCTTTCCTATATTCCTTTATATTATTAGATTATCTTTACTTGTTACAAAATGATTGCAGTTTCACTCAGCTGAAATTAAGATACTTGTGATAAATTATTGATAACCTTAAATTCCTTAAGGAATCCTTCTTTTCCCTTGGCTTCTCTCTGTGTGATTACATTCAGTAGGTCTGATACAACAATATCTTTAGCCACAGATAGATCATTATAATACACCGCCTCCTCTGGGTTTTCTATCTGTGGCTCTTCTTCTGGGTCCTCGATTTGATAGGCAACGTTTTCTATGTTAGTGTGAATCTTGTTTTCTGATATGAGAAATGAACTTGATTGCAATCATAAAAATACGAAATGAGCAATACAAACTTATTACGACTAGTTAATTTTGAAATGGACTAAATCTTAGCAAGCCCTTGAATAATCAGAGGAATTATGATTTTAATTGGAAAAAAATAACCTATAGAGAGGGTGCCCTCCTTTCGAAAGAGAACTGCATCTGCTTTGGAATACGAATTCTTTTGTCGTCTGTGTCAAAAAGAAAAAAAAGAGAGCTTTTTTCAATTCATAATTGAATGAATAATTTAAAAATGAATAAATCCTTACGATACATAATTCGTTGTACAGCTTTTGATTGCTCTCTCTTAAAATGCTACTAGACAAATCTTTTATATAAAATAAAATTTTCAGCCTAGTTTTTGAAACAAACCTGAGAAAAATGACAATAATGATTATTATAAACAACACAAATACTCCAGCTCCCAGTCCAGCACCAATAGCTGTTATTGGTAAAGATGACGAGTCACTTACAGCGAGAGCTAAGAAAGAAAGTGAAAAAGAAATGTGTGTTGACTGTATATCACATTTTTTCCAAGAAAAAAAAATAAGCATGCTGCAGCTGTAAATGCTAATCCAAATCAAAGTCCCTTTTTTCGTATATAAAATAATATGTAGCATTTTTATTTAGTTTTCTCATGTTGTCACGAATGTGATATTTCTATCCAGTATACCCTGAAACTGCTGAATCACGTCGGATATAGTTATATTACACCGGAAACAATCCCAAATACAGTTATATTATTTGGCGTACAATCATTCTCCATATCAATTAATTCGGGTTCGAAATTCGCAGAGTACGTTGCCAAGCAAATGTAAAAAGTTCGGCGAAAATTAAAATGCCTGGATAATGTCCAGTTTGATTCGGGACAGTAATTCCGTAGATACAACAAAAGTTAACAACACAAATATCAGCGTGCTGAAAACATTCTGCAATGAATTAGGAAGGAATATTTCGGAATTATATTCGACGCCCAAGTCAGAACCAATCAGTTATCTATAGAACAAACTTTTTTTTTCAGTTATCATGTGTACGCAGTGTTCTATAGATATGTTTATTGGTCAGTTTTAATTGTTTTTTTTAAAATGTTTTATGTCATGTAATAAGCCCGACGGTGAAAAACTCTACACATCTCCTCAAATGTCATTTACATTCTTCTTATTACACTTTTATCGTGCGTTTACTGTGTATTGTACATAATTTTTTTAACCGTTATTGAAGTATCTATTGTCTAACGTTGGAGACTCCCCTTGCATCGGGATCGAAATACCTAACTTCTCGGATATTTCCCACAAAATCGGAAATAACCGAGTCGTTGAAGTGACGAAATTATGACGTCTTATACAAAGTCGTGTGTACCAAGAACGCAAACGATAGTTTTGTGGGCAATTATGGCATGAAAATTGAATTAAATCGTTGTTTATTTTTTTATCAAGTAAGTTGTTGCTATGCTTCAGCAACCATGTTGCTATGCACCGCAAAGAATAATTGGGAGTATGGAATATTTTCACGTGGGACGATAAAAATTTCTTTGAAATATGTGCAGATTTCAACCAAATTTCCTCCGTTCGTACACGTTGTCAATGGAGCTCGCTACGCGAGCGGCGCTTCGTGCGCCTCGCTGTGCTCGCTATTATGAATTATATATACATGTACGAGGGTTGTTAGAAAAGTTCGCGTGAGAGTTAAAAACTATAATCATAATAGAAAAAGTGATTGTCACCTTACTCTCTCTCTCTCTCTATATATATATATGCCCATTGGTATGTAGACACAATATACTTGAAAAGGTATATATATATATATATATATATATATATATATATATATATATATATATATATATATATATATATATATATATATGCCCTATTGGTATGTAGACAAAATATACCTGAAAAGGTAGATAAAATTTCCCTATATATAACTGTGAATTTTTTATCCTGTGTATTTAATTTGATACAAAAAATCTTTTGATTGAATTAATTCAGGAAATTATTTGTTTATTTTTTTCCGCTTTTGTTCTTGTAATTATTGAATTTATTTTAAAAAAAAAATTAACTTACCTATTTTGCATTGTTCATCCGTAAAGTCGCCTTTGCACCCCCATATACACGACCCATTGTTTGAGAAACAAGTTTTGTTTAGACAGTTGGAGCTACACTGCCGATCACATTCTTTGCCGTAATAATCTGATCTACATTCTTTTTTGTAAATACAAAATATGTTAAAGAGGTCATACTTGAATATAAAAAGGTTTTGAATCGTCTTCGAAGAACTCACAAAGTTAAAGCCAATTGTTAGATTTAAAAAAAAAAAGAAAGAAATTCTGTGAATAAATATGTTTTTATCAATAAATGATTATAAATATGATAAGCACGTGTGCAATTAATAAAGTAGTATATATATCAGGTGTAAACTATTATCCTTTTTAGCAAAAACATAAAATAAGTTTGATTTAAATTGCACTTATTTTGTTTTTGATTTACCATCACATTGTTGACCCTGCCATCCTGTTATACATTTACAACTCCCATTGCTTTGATGACAACCGGAAATACACCCACTACCACAGGACCGAAGACAATCAACTCCAAATTTTCCGACAATACATCCAAACTCACATGAACCGTTGTTTTTATTGCATCCATTTCTACATGTTTGGCTGCATGTTTTATTACAATAATTTCCATATTTACCAACTGGACATTTTCCCTCACATTCCCCAGAGTGTTTATTGCAAGTCGATAGACATGTTGTACTGCATCTCTGTTCACACTTTTCTAAATAAAACCCGCTACTACAACCATCAATGCAGGATCCATTGACATTGTCACAGGTCTGCCTTTTACAATTTACACTACATTTGTTGGAGCAATCATGTCCATAATGGTTTAAATCACATCCTTTAAAAAAAAGAGAGTGTAAATTTCAATCAGAAATATTAAAATTTTCTATGATCAACTGTCAATATTAACTAGAGGATTACTATAAACTTCGATAAAATAGAATGGTTTCATTTTTCCGTTTTGATATGAAGAGAATAATAGCATTATATGAACGTCACTGGTTAAATGTATGAAGTTTGGTTTGTAACAAATTCTTTGTCTACTCTTGAACAAATATTTAAATAACTGTAGTTTTTGAATGTAATAATTTTGTTTACTGTCACAGTTTTGACCCTGCCATCCTGTTTTACATTGACAACTTCCATTGTTTTGAGAACAACCTGAAACGCATCCCCCACCACAAAATCTGACACAGTCAGTTCCATATTTCCCGACAACACATCCAGAATCGCATAAACCATCGATTTTACTGCATCCATTTTTACAATTTTTATTGCACGTTTTATTACAAGTATTTCCATATTTTCCTTCTGGACATTCGCCCTCACAATTCCCTGAATATCTGTTACAGGTTGACGGACATGATGTACTGCACTTCTGTTCACACTTTTCTAAATAAAATCCGCTCTTACATCCATAAGTACAGTATCCAGTGACATTGTTACACGTCTGTCTTTTACAGTTAACACTGCATTCCCGTGAACAATCAGATCCGTAATGATTGGAATCGCATCCTGTAAAATATCAGCAGTCTCATGTTTTTTTTTTTTACCAATAATACAAACCCATAAAGTTAAGCAGTAAATTCATGTAATATTTAGTTATATAATAATCAATATTTAGGACATTAAAACACACAAAAAAGTTAAGGCGAAAGTAGGAAAGGAATTAAATTTACACTAAGTCATGTTCTCAGATAGAAATACGAGCATTATTTATTCAAGCTCCTTCCCCTATTTATGCTCTGAACAAAATATGTGTCCTTTTTCAGATAAATTGCTTTATATATTTACATACACCAATCCTCCAGTTGATTTTATTTTTTAACATAACGTAACAAAACTTTGCTGGCTACGGAAAATATTATATGCAATTCAGTAACATGAACCGTTTTCTTTTATGCTCATTTTAAAATACAAATTGTGTAGTTGATTCAATTTTTTTTTCAGTTTGAGCATGTTTATGAATAAGTTTCAAAGATCGTCATTTTAAATCTGCAAAAGAAATATATTGTTATAGAAGAATTGCAATGCATCTGATTAACAGTAGAGGTCTAATGACTCTTACTTAAAAGTTTTTCTGTGCGTTAAATAGTACGTTATTGATGACACATATTTTTGAAAATCAGTGCATCTTTTGTGCAAAGCCTAACTAGACTTTGCTACTTAAAAACAAGAGGCTTAAGGGCCACATCGCTTATCTCAGCATTTTAGATAGGAGTGTTGCTTTACGTCCCGTTCGAAAATTTTTCACTAATATAAAGACGTCAGCATATGCCGGTGTAGGGCTTTAAATTTAGACCTTTACTCGGCACTCAGAGCCATTGAGCAGTGAGGATTCTTTATCGTGCCAACGCCTACCGTGACACGGGGCCTCGGTTTTTTTTTTTTTTTGGTCTCATCCGAAGGACCCGCAACTTTCACTTCAAAGTGCCGAGCACATGACAAAAGAACAGTTCCTACCCATTTTTTATCGACTAAAGTCAGTCGCGGCCGAGGTTCGAACTCACGACCTCCCGATCACGAAGCGAGCGCTTTAAATTGAATAAACTTACTATTGCATCGATCTCCAGTCCAGTTCGGTTTACATCCACCAGTACAAATGCCATTCTGAGTGCATTTAGTTTGTGCACAGTTGTTACTACATGGCATAGTACAGAATGGACCGTAGAAACCGCTGATGCAACCATTAATACAATTTCCACTTATTTTCATACATTCCCGATGAAGGCAATTTTTACTACATGTCAGATTGCATTTTTCTCCATAAAAGCCTGTATTACAAGCCTCGCAATTCCCAGTTATTCTTTTACAAGTACCAGTGCTGCATTTACCACAGACTTTATCGCAGTAAGTTCCATAGTGACCGGTAACGCATCCAGTTGTACATTTTCCATTGCCTTTGTCACATTTTTTCCCAGAACATTTATCATACCAATGACACCTTTTTTCACAACTATCCCCATAGTACCCTCCGTTACAAGAATTGCAGTGTCCGTTATTTCTATTACATTTGTTCATTGAGCACTTTGATGAACAATTGTTCTGACATGTATCTCCCCAGTATCCCTGAATACATCCTTGGACGCAGTTTCCCTTTCCATCGCATTTCATGTCCTTACAACTACGTCTACATCTGACTAAATAAAACACATGACATTTTTTCCATCATTATTCGTTTAATGCTATTGCAAGATTGATAATTGTT